CAGTTTAAAAACTGTTGTGTAAAACACTCCTCTGGCAAAACAGTGATGGAGTGAATGATGGTGAAAGTTTTTCTTTTTCTGGCCACTCTGCCTTGGTGGGAATTTGCCAGTGTGTTAATAATTAATTAAAATTGAAAAATGTAAAAAAACGTAGATCTACTTTTGGAGCGCTACGCATGTGACCGTAGATCTGTGTTTGGACAGTTTAAGGGTATTAATGTCGTAAGCTGTGGCATGCAAAGAGTACGTAACCTTTATTCGGCGCATGTACACACCCTCATTTACAGGCTATCTCCCCCAACCAGCGAACCAGGTTGCTAAGAGTTGATGATGGGGCCCCGTCGTTCAACTAGTGACCAGGTTCTAGCCAATAAGAAGATGGTTTTGGCAATCGCAGAGGTTATGTGGGTACCGCTCTCCTGTCTGCCCTTGTCATTCCCATTCTAGAGCTGGTTGAAGCACGGTCTGCTATCTTGTGGCTTCTATTTCTGCCTTGCTTACCGTGGAGTTCACTATACTTATCACTGTACATAGTGTACATATTGCTGTTATAAATTGGTGAAGGATAATATAAGTCTAAACTTTTCTGCTGTGTTTATTTTGCTCCCATTACACCCGGGATAACAGGCCATTTGGAATCCTGGGTTGTAATATAAGCAATCAGCATTGTTCTCGCTAGTGTTCGTAACAGGTCAGCCATCACCAAAGCATCATCAACCAGCATTGATTACACCTCTTAATCCATCATCAATATCCCGTTCTTACCCAGCATTCGTAACTCTTAATTTATTAAAATAAAATAAAGAATAAAGGTTTTATTTATTCTTTATTCAGTGGAAGACGAGGAGTTCAAGTTAATTAGTCCCTCAATCTGGAGTTGAACACATCGACTCCAGACTGAGAGACTGATTACCTCAAACTTCTCAGCTTCCACCCTTCTCTGTACTGGACTGAAGAAGCCACTGGCTGGCCAAACGTTTCCAGAATAAAGATACCCAAATGTTGTACAGATGTCTCATCTTCAAATTATTTCTACAAACTTATGTGAGCACTTAATTGTAGCGTCAGCACTTTATCCTGAACACTGAGAACTACAGTTATAACACTAAACATTAATACAACATTTACAGCAGGGTTCAAACTTGGTATTGTGATTACTGAAGTGACAACAATACTGTGTGAGCATAACACATGTAACCTGCACCTAGAAGAGAGAAGCTTACGACGACGTGTCGGTCCGTCTTCGACTATTTACAAAGTCAATGTGACTTTGTAAATGGTCAAAGACGGTCTGAAGCGTCGTCGTAAGCTTCTCTCTTCTATGTACGGGTTATCTGTGTTTCTAACATTTACGGTATTGTGCCTTTTTTGTTCAATTTGTATAAACATTGCAGTGAGTCCACTCTAATTTGACCAGTAATAATGGTCCTTCATAACGAGCAAGAATGATACCATCCAGTATACATAAATGCTCTCCTTAACTACCACCAGTGACTCACTCAACCAGCATCAATGAATCCCTTTTACTTTGAACATTGACTTTCTGAATCATTATCAATGTACCACTCGTAACTATCATCAATAACCCCCATTTTATTACCATTGAATTCCTTAATTAGCATCAACTATTTTATTAACTATCAACAATGCACCACTCTAAAAAAGTATCAATATCTCCCTTAACCAGCATCAATGCACCATTAACCAGCATCAATGCACCATTAACCAGCATTAAATATGCACTCAGTGAGCGTCAATAGACCCCTTTTTTTAAGGGCTGTGTTATTGATGCTGATTGCGTTGGGGTCAGTGATGATATTTAAAGGTTGAGTCATTAATACATATTAAGGGAGACGTCAATGACGTTATTTAAAGAAGGTCAATGTTACTGGTTTTGGTGAAGAAACTGATGATACTTTGGGGACATTTATGGTAATTTTGTGGAACTCATGGATTATGGTTAAGGGGTGTGTCATTGATGCTATAAGAATTTAGAGCAAAGAAATTATATTTGATGATATATGAAGATAACAGTGGTGAAAAGTAAGAAATATAGTTGGAAGAGTGACCCACTTTGAGGGTACGTCATCAGCTGACACTACAGTGGGTCATGAGCTGATACTACACAGTGGGTCATGAGCTGACACTACACAGTGGGTCATGAGCTGATACTACACAGTGGGTCATGAGCTGATACTACACAGTGGGTCATGAGCTGATACTACACAGTGGGTCATGAGCTGATACTACACAGTCAGTCATCAGCTGACACTACACAGTGGGTCATCAGCTGACACTACATAGATAGAACATTAAAATGGTATAAAATACCGACAGATTGTTAGGTAAGACACATATGCAACAGTTAGGTATCTTTATTTTGAAACGTTTCGCCTACACAGTAGGCTTCTTCAGTCGAGTACAGAAAAGTTGATAGAAGCAGAAGATACTTGAAGACGATGTAATCAGTCCATCACCCTTAAAGTTTTGAGGTGGTCAGTCCCTCAGTCTGGAGAAGAGCATTGTTCCGTTGTCTGAAACAATATGAAGTTGAAGTGACAGAATCGGGCCTTATATAGTGCCAGGAGGTGAGACGTAGGTTGATTTGGGAGGGCAGGTCCTTCTCAAACCCAGCCGTTCTCACTAGTAGAGGTTGTCGAAGTAGATGGTCTGTACCAAGATACCCTTGTGTTGAAGTGTCTGACAGAATGAACATTAAAATGGTATAAAATACCGACAGATTGTTAGGTAAGACACATATGCAACAGTTAGGTATCTTTATTTTGAAACGTTTCGCCTACACAGTAGGCTTCTTCAGTCGAGTACAGAAAGTTGATAGAAGCAGAAGTATACTTGAAGACGATGTAATCAGTCCATCACCCTTAAAGTTTTGAGGTGGTCAGTCCCTCAGTCTGGAGAAGAGCATTGTTCCGTTGTCTGAAACAATATGAAGTTGAAGTGACAGAATCGGGCCTTATATAGTGCCAGGAGGTGAGACGTAGGTTGATTTGGGAGGGCAGGTCCTTCTCAAACCCAGCCGTTCTCACTAGTAGAGGTTGTCGAAGTAGATGGTCTGTACCAAGATACCCTTGTGTTGAAGTGTCTGACAGAATGAACATTAAAATGGTATAAAATACCGACAGATTGTTAGGTAAGACACATATGCAACAGTTAGGTATCTTTATTTTGAAACGTTTCGCCTACACAGTAGGCTTCTTCAGTCGAGTACAGAAAAGTTGATAGAAGCAGAAGATACTTGAAGACGATGTAATCAGTCCATCACCCTTAAAGTTTTGAGGTGGTCAGTCCCTCAGTCTGGAGAAGAGCATTGTTCCGTTGTATTTAACAATATACCATTTTAATGTTCATTCTGTCAGACACTGCAACACAAGGGTATCTTGGTACAGACCATCTACTTCGACAACCTCTACTAGTGAGAACGGCTGGGTTTGAGAAGGACCTGCCCTCCCAAATCAACCTACGTCTCACCTCCTGGCACTATATAAGGCCCGATTCTGTCACTTCAACTTCATATTGTTTCAGACAACGGAACAATGCTCTTCTCCAGACTGAGGGACTGACCACCTCAAAACTTTAAGGGTGATGGACTGATTACATCGTCTTCAAGTATCTTCTGCTTCTATCAACTTTTCTGTACTCGACTGAAGAAGCCTACTGTGTAGGCGAAACGTTTCAAAATAAAGATACCTAACTGTTGCATATGTGTCTTACCTAACAATCTGTCGGTATTTTATACCATTTTAATGTTCATTCTGTCAGACACTGCAACACAAGGGTATCTTGGTACAGACCATCTACTTCGACAACCTCTACTAGTGAGAACGGCTGGGTTTGAGAAGGACCTGCCCTCCCAAATCAACCTACGTCTCACCTCCTGGCACTATATAAGGCCCGATTCTGTCACTTCAACTTCATATTGTTTCAGACAACGGAACAATGCTCTTCTCCAGACTGAGGGACTGACCACCTCAAAACTTTAAGTGTGATGGACTGATTACATCGTCTTCAAGTATCTTCTGCTTCTATCAACTTTTCTGTACTCGACTGAAGAAGCCTACTGTGTAGGCGAAACGTTTCAAAATAAAGATACCTAACTGTTGCATATGTGTCTTACCTAACTACATAGATAGCAAACCACTGGTAGTTAAAGGTGTAAACATTTTTGTTGGTTGATGCAGATGATTTAAAAATTGTTAAGTTAAAGAATGAGACGCTTGTGCAACATTTCGGAATGTTTACTGTGGAAACATTTCACCAGATTCTTCAGACCAGCACAGAGAAGAACGGTAGAAGAGGAGGAGTGTGACGTAATAAGCATATGCACGAAGCGGCTTTTATGCTATAGACAGGTGAGTTGCAGTAGCAGGAGGCAGTCACCAATGGAAAAATCCACTAGTGTAAATAGGTTATTATTACAGTAGGATAAGTTTTCGCTGTCATTCAGATATATTTTGTTTGTATTGATCTGCCAATATAGAGAACTGTGAACACAAATAATCGGCTTCGAGAGAAACACTATGAACTGGAAAAAGCAGCTGTAATTTTTTCTTCTATTTTCTGAGTAAAAAATTCTCGCCTGATATAGGGAATGGTAATGAGTATACACAAAGCCTTTTCTTCTGTTTCTCCGTGGTTATGGGTCCCACAATTTGTGCTAAAGTGTTCTCAATTGTGTAAAAAAAATATTACGTTGTGAAAAAGAGGAAGTATAAAAATTTCTTTCTTTACTATCGAATGGAACAAACACTCTTTACACGAGGAGGCTAAAACACAGGTGTAAAACGAGAAGAAACGCTAAGTCAGACACCACCACTGCCAATAATTTATACCTTTGGAGACCAGGAAGCGAACACAGGAAAAGAGCGAATGTTGATGCTTTAGTGGACACGAACAGTGCAGTAGTTTATATTCTGGCGAATAGGAAGACAACACACAGAAGCAGAGCGAGAGTACATGCCATGCCATACAAGATTACTTACCCTCTGGAGACTAGGAGACCCACACATAGTAGTAGCGCGAGGGTACACGCTATGCCAGACACAACTGGTGCCAAGACATGAGGGTCGAGGTAGAGAGGTGCTCCACTGCTCTCTACCACCTCAATCACAGATTCCGGCGATAAGGTTGCTGGTAAAGAAACAGACATCTTTGTTACGTACGAAAGCAACAAATAGTTTTAAATATAAATCAGATAAAACTTCACTCGACGTTTATCATAGGTACCAGGTAAATACAAGAAAATATCTGAAAAAGAATACAGATACCTAATAATTATTTTTTTTAACTCGTTTTAGTTTTCTTAGTTCTCTGAAGTAAATATTAGTTTACGTAAAATATCAGATCATGTTCAGTTGTAGGTACAGTGAGTAAGAAAGAGACGAAACTTTATAAATTCAAGAAGGAGGTAGTCTGTGACTTGAAAAAGCCCACTGTGTGGGCGAAACGTAGTCAATAAAGGATCACATTACACTGCATATGTGTTTATATTTCCATGTGTTTATATTTCCAGGAGGTAGTTAGGAAAAGATATATGCAACTATTGGCAGAAAGATGGACTTGTGAGAGTTTAGGTAATGAGGCTGAAGATTTTATGGGAAAGATTTAAGAATGCAGTGTTGGAGTGTTCAGCAGATGTTTGTGGATATAGTAGTGTGGAAGGGAAGAGGAGCGAATGATGAGGTAAAGAGAGTAGTAATAGAAAAAAGTTTGCATATGAGAGGTTTTTACAGAGCACAAATGAAGGAGGGAGGAGTACATAGACAGAAAAAGAGACGTTAAGGGAATGTACAACGAGAGCAAATGAGAGAGTGGGTGAGGAGCTTTCAACAAATTTTGCTGAGACTAAAGAAAATTTTTTGGAGTGAGGTCAGTAACCTGAGAAACCCCAGAAAATTAATACATTTGACAATTAAAAACAGAAGAGGAGAGATATTAGATAGGGAGTTGGAGGTATCAGGAAGATGGAAGGAATATTTTGACGAACTCTTAAATGTTGATGAAGATAAGGAAACTGTGAATTCATGCACTGGCCAGGGAGGTCTAACATCTTATAGGAGTGAGGAAGAGACAGATGTGAGCGTGAGGAAGGTGCATGAGGCTCTGGGTAAAATGAAAGGCTGATTGATGGAATCATGACAGAAATATTAAGGAGCTTTTATTTAATAAATGTGTGGACAAGGGTAAGGTACTTGCAGGGAAATAAGCGTATTAAGTATACCTGGTAAAGTCTATGGTATAGTTATTATTCAAATAATTAAGGACAAGATGAATGACAGAATCGCAGATGAAGAAAGAAGCTTCAGGTGGGATAGGTAATTTGAAGACCAAGTGTTTACAGTGAAGCATGTAGGTGAACAGCAAGGGTGAGAACGTTTTCCTTGTATTAATGGATTTGGAAAAGGCGTATGATTAGGTTGATAGGGGAGCAAATGCTTGCAGATGCTGTAAGTGTATGGAATAGGTGGTAGGTTACTGAAAGCAGCTAAGAGTTTTAATGAGGATAGTGAGGGTCAGGTTAGAGTATATAGGAGAGATAGAGATTTCCCAGTAAAAGTAGGAATTGGTCAGGGATGCGTGACGTCACGATGGTTGTTCAATATATTTATAGATGGGGTTGTATGAGAAGTGAATGCTCAGCTGTTGGCAAGAGATAATGGATTATGAGATAAAGAATCTAACACAAAGGAGAGATATCACAGTTGCTTTCTGCTGATGACACTGTGCTTTTGGGAGATTCTGAAGAGAGGTTGCAGAGGTTGGTAGACGAGTTTGAAAGGATATGTAAAAGAAAAATTAAAAGTAAACATAGGAAAGAATAAGGTGATGAGGATAAAAACTACAAACTCGTGCAGAGAGAGTTGGTTCGAATCCTGCTGTGGATTGAGAGATAATATTTGTAAAAAATTTCCCCATTTGCGAATTAAGCACACACACATACACACACACACACACACACACACACACACACACACACACACACACACACACACACACACACACACACACACACACACAAATGAAGTTCAAATTTTTAAAAGGGAGACAGACACTCAACATTAAACTACTGACCAGTGTCAGTGACATATATACTATGCAAAGTCGTGTAGAAGATTATCAGGAGGAGAGCGGTGGAACACTGAGAAAGTAATGAGCTTATAAATGACAACCAGCATTGATTCAGGGATGGGAAATACTGTGTCATAAACCTACTGAAGTTCTCTGACAAGGTGACAGTAGTAACACACAGATATATATATATATAAAATATATATATATATATATATATATATATATATATATATATATATTATATATATATATATATATATATATATATAGTGTGTTTGTTAGTTACCATTTTGTCCTAGGCACATGTCGATCAGACACAAGGCCTGTTGTATGTGTGTATCTGTGTGTGTGAGAAAGTGTGTGTGTGTGTGTGTGTCTGCGTGTCTGCGTGTGTGGAGTGTGTGTGTGTGGAGTGTGTGTGTGGTATGTGTGGTGTGTATGTGTGGTGTACTCACCTAATTGTACTCACCTAATTGTGATTGCAGAGGTCGAGACTCAGCTCCTGGCCCCGCCTCTTCACTGATCGCTACTGGGTCCTCTCTCGCTCTGCTTCCTGAGCTTTGTCATACCTCTTCTTAAAACTATGTATGGTTCCTGCCTCCACTACTTCACTTGCTAGGCTATTCCACTTCCAGACGACTCTATGACTAAAGAAATACTTCCTAACGTCCCTGTGACTCGTCTGAGTCTTCAGCTTCCAGTTGTGACCCCTTGTTTCTGTGTCCCCTCTCTGAAACATCCTGTCTCTGTCCACCTTGTCTATTCCCCACAGTATCTTGTATGTCGTTATCATGTCTCCCCTGACCCTTCTGTCCTCCAGTGTCGTCAGTCCGATTTCCCTCAACCTTCCCTCGTACGACATTCCCATGAGCTCTGGGACTAGCCTTGTTGCAAACCTTTGTACTTTCTCTAACTTCTTGACGTGCTTGACCAGGTGTGGGTTCCAGACTGGTGCTGTATACTCCAGTATGGGCCTAACATACACAGTGTACAGTGTCTTGAACGATTCCTTATTAAGGTATCGGAACGCTATTCTCAGGTTTGCCAGGCGCCCATATGCTGCAGCAGTTATTTGGTTGATGTGTGCCTCCGGTGATGTGCTCGGTGTTGCCTCCCTGTCAGGTATTCCCTGATCCATTGCAGTGTCCTCCGTGTTATATGCGCCTGATCCTCCAGCTTCTGCACTAATTTCTTGTGGGGAACTGTGTCAAAGGGCTTCCTGCAGTCTAGGAAAACGCAATCTACCCAACCCTCTCTCTCGTGTCTTACTTCTGTTACCTTGTCATAAAACTCCAGAAGGTTTGTGACACAGGATTTGGCTTCCATGAACCCATGCTGGTTTTCATTTATAATCTTGTTCCGTTCCAGGTGTTCCACCACTTTCCTCATGATAATCTTCTCCATGACTTTGTACACAATACATGTCAGAGACACAGGTCTGTAGTTTAGTCCCTCATTTCTGTCTCCTTTCTTAAATATGGGGACTACATTTGCCGTCTTCCATTTCTCAGGTAGTTGCCCAGTTTCAAGGGATGTGTTGAAGATTGTGGTTAGGGGCACACACAGCATCTCTGCTCCTTCTCTAAGGACCCATGGGGAGATGTTGTCCAGTCCCATCGCCTTTGAGATATCAAGGTCACTTAGCAGCTTCTGCACCTCCTCCTCGGTTGTTCGTATGTCATCCAACACTTGTTGGTACATTCCCTCTTGAGGTTCCCTTCTGTGCTGTCTTCCCAGAGCCCTTCCTGTCTCTACTGTAAAAACTTCCTTAAATCTCCTGTTTAGCTCCTCACATACCTCCTGATCATTTCTTGTGAGTTCTCCACCTTCTGTCCTCAGGCTGATCACCTGCTCTTTGACTGTTGTCTTCCTCCTGATATGGCTATACAACAGTTTCGGGTCAGTCTTGATTTTCGATGCTATGTTATTTTCATACTGTCGCTGGGCCTCCCTTTTTACCTGTGCATACTCGTTCCTGGCTCTGCGACTGATCTCCTTATTTTCATGTGTTCTCTGCCTTCTGTACTTTTTCCATTCTCTATTGCACTTTGCTTTTGCCTCCTTACACCGTCGGGTAAACAAGGGGCTCGTTCTGGTCTTCCCATTGTTTCTGTTGCCCTTGGGAATAAACCTTTCCACCTCCTCCTTGCATTTTGCTGTTACATATTCCATCGTTTCATTTACTGGCTTTCCTGCCAGTTCTCTGTCCCACGGAACCTCCTGCACGAAGTTCCTCAAACCTATGTAGTCCCCTTTTTTATAGTCAGGCCTATCCCATTCATCTCCTGTTACTCTCTCCACTTGCAACTCTACTATGTATTCAAAGCACAGAACCACGTGGTCACTACCTCCTAGCGGACTCTCATATGTGATGTTCTCAATGTCTGAACCGCCCAGGGTGAACACAACGTCACATCTTGCTGGTTCGTCCTCCCCTCTCACTCTAGTAGTGTCCTTAACATGTTGGTGCATGAGCTTTTCCAGCACCACATCCAACATCTTGGATCTCCATGTTTCGGGACCCTCATGTGGCTCCAGGTTTTCCCAGCCAATCTCCCTGTGGTTGAAATCACCCATAACCAGCAACTTTGCTCTGCTCGAGTGAGCTCTTCTTGCCACCTCAGCAAGTGTGAGCACAATTGTTCCGTTGCTCTCTTCATATTCCTCTCTTGGCCTCCTGCAGTTCTGTGGTGAGTTATACATCACTGCAATGATGTGTGTGTGTGTGTGTGTGTGGTGTGTGTGTGTGTGTGTGTGTGTGTGTGTGTGTGTGTGTGTGTGTGTGTGTGTGTGGTGTGTGTGTGTGGTGTGTGTGTGTGTGTGTGTGTGTGTGTGTGTGTGTGTGTGTGTGTGTGTGTGGGGTGTGTGGTGTGTGTGTGTGGTGTGTGTGTGTGTGGGAGGGGGTGTATGTGTGTGTGTGTGTGGGGTGTGTGTGTGTGTGGGGTGTGTGTGTGGGGTATGTGGTGTGTGTGTGGGGTGTGTGTGTGTGTATGTGTGTGTGTGTACTCACCTAGTTGTACTCACCTAGTTGAGGTTGCGGGGGTCGAGTCCGAGCTCCT